AAAAAAAAAAAAAAAACCCCACTGAAATAATCGCAAGAAAATACAGGGCTAAGCATCAATGGAGGGCAAAAACCTGCAGGTGAGGAAACAGTGAGCGTCTCAGAGAAGAAGCGTTTCGGAGGAGCCGCGCCATTTATTACTGTTAAGAGGTAAAAGGGTCTCTTCTTTTCAAGATTACCACAACACAAGCAAGTGTTCACCCACTCAAACAGAGGTCTTCGAAGCTATGAATATTCGTGCAACATTTCTCGCACAAGAAAACAGCACGAACTCGAACCAACAGTCGCAAGAAGCTTTACTCTGCTTTGAGAATCGAGCGGGATGAACAGTAGCAGAAAGGAGAAGAGTTTTGTTTTGGGAATTGGAGGAGGGTTTGGTTTATTAGGGTTTATGTGTTTCCCTCCTTTTTCCAACTCTCATTTGGGGAGATGAAAAGAATTGTTTATTTGGGACTTATGACGTAGGCGCCACGATATCGTGTCTCGTGTTCGTGTAGTATACTGTATACCGTGAATTTTGATTTTTTGTCTTGTTTATTTTATTTATGTCTTATTTATTTTATTTAATTATAATAAAATACATCATATAGCTGGAAAAGTTTGCAAGTCAATGAAAATTAACTAAATATACAAAAATTCAATCACTTCTCACCGATCACTTTTTTTAATTCAAATTTCACTCGAATTTAAATCAAATTCATTATACTCAATATTATCAATATGATTATATAATACGACTCAATCATTCTTACATATTATATCAATTTTTATTTATTATTCATCTGCTCACATAATTTTAACTAATTATCCATTCCCATCATTTATCTCCTACTTTTACATCAAATCAACTTGAATTATTTTGTTTTAAATATTATTTTAATATAAACTCAAAATCTCACTAACAACTAACATACTATTTTTTTTTTCAAAATTAATCATATCAAACCAAAAAAATTCAAACATCTTATATCCAAACACTAACCTCTCTCATATCTCCTCAGGCGATTTTTCCCTCACTGAAGCCTCCTGAAACCTTTATTTGTGCCTCGACGTAGCTTCCTAAAGTCATAAGCTATGCGCCCTCGTGGAGATGATCGGCTCTGGCGCGGCTTTCTCCCATTAGTCGTTGTTCGGTCACATTCTTCGACATAATTTTCGTCCCGACTTGGGTTGTCGCGATGGGTTCTCTAGGTGGATAGACGGCGGCGAGGGCGGGAGCTTGCCCTATATTCTCATCCATATATTGGGGCTTGGATGAGAAGACTTCTCCGGCGGGAGACCTCTTCGGCTCTGGGCTTTCTTGGGTGCTTTCGTCATGGCAATTGTGGGGTTGGGGTAGGTGTGGGCTTTCAGGTGCGGCTCTGAGGTTGGTCTTTTCTCTAACTGGGGGTGGATCTACATTAGCCGTCACTAGTTCTTTGTGAAGTAAGTGGCTAGATTTGCACCCTTGGTGGGGGTCAAGCTCAGGAGGGTCTTCTCCGGCTCTCGTCTCGTGCAGTGGTGTTTTGAGGTTGCTGGTTGACTTCTAGGGAGGTCATTGTTTGTATTGCTATTTGCAAATATCTTTTTTGTAGTGTTTTTGGCATTTTAGTAATATGTGTTATGTGTTTATCCAATCTTTGTTTTTGTGTTTATTCTCATGTTAGGAGTTATATTCTCCACTAGTGTGAGTATCGTATTATTGTGAGCTCGTTGTGGTAGTTTAGGCTTCCTATTGGGTTGTCCTCTCACTAGATTCAGCAGTGTGGTTGCTTGGCTATTCTGTGGACATGCCTCCTAACCATGTCGGTTGTGAGGGTAGCCCAAACGAGCCACACGAGAATCTCTAGTGGGAGTCGACTTTGTCCCATGTCCTGTCGCGTCTAAATATCCAAGTTGGTCAAGACCGACCTCCTGAAGAGGCATCGTCTTCGACTCTGCCTTAAGTTTTTTTATTGATGGTGTTCTTATTATTTTTCATTTTGCTGCTATTGGCTTCCCCAAGCTCGGGCCCTTTTTAATTGTTGTTTCTATTAATGAAGTATTTTTCTCTCAATAGGCTTGCTTTTACTTGAACTTCATAAGCTCCCAAGTTGAACGTTGCAGGATCCTATTATTGTTTTTATTGCTTTTATACTTTTCATCATTTGGCACCTCATGAAACAACTTGTTAACCATGTGCGAGCTAAACTAGCTCCATCCGATGTAACTTAAGAGCTTAATCTTGAGTTGGTTTACTTGAACATTTGATTTTAGATTTATCATAGGCTCTTCGAGCTGTGAGCTCAAAGTTCTTATCTATGTTACATAGGCCTCAGACCGGAGTTATACCTAACCGATTAGATGTAGGCCTTTGATATGTGCCTAGCTGATTTTACGTAGGACTCCTAGCTATAAAATTGTAGTTCTGCCTTAACTTGTCCCTTAGGTCTTCGATCTCATCAGTCCGAAGTTCTACCCCTAAGCTTTGCACTGTTCAGCCATCTTAAGAGGTTCCACTGAACTCCTTTGGCCATTTTGGGATCCCAATATACAAGCAATATTTTATTGTGCAATAACTAAATATACTTTATAAAGAAATCAAATGTAATTAAATACATAATCTTTGGTGAACATCTTAGCTTACCAGCTCAAAGTCTGTCCTTACTTAATATGCACCAAACTTGGTGATAACTAACATAAAACATGTACTCATATGCGGTCTTCTTGGTTGTCGTCCGATCTCGACCCCATGGAGCAGCAGCATCTTCTCTCTGTCGACTCTGGGGAGTTATTTGATGACCCTGGACGTTAGCGACGCATCGTTGGTCGTCTTCTCTATCTCGCTGTCACGCGTCCTGATATCAGCTATGCAGGCCATGTTCTTTCTCAATTTATGCATCAGCCACGTATTCCTTGTAGAAGCTTCCAATCAGATAACATCAACATAACTCTCTGACTTGTCATCTCCTAGTCTTATGCCTTTTGTTATCTTAGTTAGTTTCAGTAGCATTATCTTCTCCATAAAAATAGTGCATCAGTTGCACAATGTATCTATAAGTTATGCTCTGTATCTTCCAGGAATTAACAACAATTATCATTTTATCCCACACTACTCTTATATGGTATCAGGAGCCCTCGCCTAACGGCTCGCTGATTTCACCTTTGACACCCACCATTCATGGCTACCACCACATCCACTGAAACCGAAAACATACCCCCCTCTTCCAATCTTCTTTCTCTTATCACGTTAAACACAGGAACACAGATTCCAATTAAGCTTGATGGCACTAATTACCCAGCATGGCGAGTTCAATTCAACGCCTTGCTAATTGGCTATGACCTACAAGGATATGTTGATGGCACAAATCCATGTCCTCCAAGCACAGATGACGGCTACACTCGCTGGAAACGCCAAGACCAGCTCCTAATTCATGCCATAATTTCTTCTGTGACTGCTCAAGTGGTTAACTTTCTCGGCAACGTTACCACCTCTAAACAAGCCTGGGATATCCTCACGCATATGTATGCCAACAAGTCTCGCTCCCGCGTCATGACACTCAAAGAACGCCTGGCCACAACTGTCAAAGGCTCGCGTTCCATCACGGAATATCTTCAGACCATCAGATCTGTTTCGGATGAACTAGCCATAATTCAATCTCCTGTTGATGACCTTGATCTTGTTATTCACACTCTCAATGGCCTTGGACGCGAATACCGTGAATTATCTGCAGCGCTGCGAGCTCGTGACACACCAATTGCCTTTGCTGATCTCTATGAAAAGCTCATTGAATATGAGTCTTTCATTGCCAAAGAGGATCGGGCAAATGAGTCACCTGTCATCCCTACGGCGCACGCTGCTACACGCACACGTGGTGCTCCCTTCAAGCCTCGTCACGGTTCCAGCGGTGTGCAATCTTCTTCCTCTCGTTCTCAGCCGTCTCACCCACGTTCTCAGTTTGCTGGTCCCTATCATCACCTGTATTGCCAGACATGCAAAAAGTATGGCCATGATGACCGCATTTGCTACAGGATACATGGGTATCCCAACAAGCCAAAAGCTGCTTATGCAGTTGCGCCTGCTGCCTCCCCTTCCTCGTGGATCATGGATTCCGGAGCGTCTCATCATGTGACCAATGCACTTGAGAATCTTCATCTCTCGGCCCCTTACACCGGCACGGACAGTCTTGTTGTTGGTGATGGTACAAGTTTGCATATTAATCATACTGGTTCTTCCTCCTTACACACCTCCACCCATCCCATTAAATTGTCAAATATTCTTCATGTTCCACAAGTTCAGCAAAATCTTATCTCTGTCTCTAACCTTTGTCAAAATAATCCTGTTTTTGTTGAATTTCATGCCAATCATTTTCTTGTGAAGGACCTGAAGACCAAAGTGGTGCTGCTGAAAGGCGTGCTTAGAGGAGGACTTTATAACTTACCTGCATCCTCTCAGCCTCACGCTCTCATTCATGTGCGCAGTCCTACCCATCATTTTCATCATCAACTAGGTCACCCTTCCCGTCGCATCCTGCAACATCTGCATCATCTTTACAATTTTCCTCCTAAATCTCCTGCTTCAATAACGTGTGTCTCATGTCAGTGTGCCAAGAGCCACAAGTTACCTTTTGCTCGGTCCAGTCTCAAAAGTGACAAGCCTCTTGAACTTGTGTATACTGATGTATGGGGTCCAGCACCGACTAGGTCCTTAGATAATTTTTTGTACTATGTCATCTTTGTTGATAACTTTACTAAGTACGTTTGGTTATATCCAATGAAAAATAAATCAGATGTTGCATTACTGTTTCCTCAGTTCAAGACTCTTGTTGAAAAGCGCTTCAATCTCCCTCTTTTAGCCTTATATTCAAATAATGGGGGTGAATACATTAATCTTCAATTAAAATCATACCTTAACTCTAATGGCATCTCTCATTTTACAACACCCCCTCATACACCTGAACTCAATGGTGTTGCTGAACGACTCCATAGACATATTGTTGAAACTAGCAAGAGTCTTCTACACTATGCCGGTTTGCCCTCTACCTTCTGGTCGTATGCATTTCTTACAGCCACATACTTAATAAATCGAATGCCTACACCCACCCTAGACATGAAATCACCCCTTCAAATGCTGTTAAATCAAACACCAAACTTTAGCCACCTACACAGCTTCGGGTGTCTTTGCTTCCCTTGGCTACGACCCTACACCACCAATAAACTTCAACCACGTTCTACCCCGTGTATCTTTGTAGGTTACTCCACCTCTCAATATGCTTATCTATGTCTTGATCCGGTAACTCACAAACTGTACACATCTCGCCATGTTTCCTTTATTGACAGTGAATTTCCCTACCAGCAACTAACTCATAAATCTGATCCTCCTGTGTCTTCAACCCTCTCTGCTGAATCTTCACCACATACCTTCGTTCCCACCCCAATCCTTCCCCCTTCTACCAGTCCTGCCATCTCTGTCTCACACCCGGTCATATCCTCTCCACCACCTACGGCAAGTCCTCCCCTCACACCTCTCCAGCGCCCCTTGGCTTCTTTTTCTTCACAAGGTAATGCTTCCTCTCCCTCTCCTTCTCCTTTATTATTGCCTAACACCACTCGCAGGCATCCAATGGTCACTCGCTCCCAGCACAACATCTTCAAGCCAAAGCGTATGCTTTCAGCTTCTAAACATCCTATCCCTGAGAATCTTGAACCATCATGTGTCTCTGTTGCCATGCGCCATGCACACTGGCGTACAACAATGTCTGAGGAGTTTGATGCCTTAGTTCGCAATGGCACTTGGGTACTTGTTCCACCATCTCCTGCTCAAAATGTAGTTGGCTGCAAATGGGTGTTTCGCATCAAGCGTAACCCAAATGGCTCTATATCTCGCTACAAGGCCCGTCTAGTTGCGAAGGGTTTTCATCAATGTCCTGGCTTGGATTTCAAAGAGACATTTGCTCCTGTTGTGAAGCCCCAAACTATCAAAATAGTTTTCAGTATTGCACTCAGTAAGTCATGGTCTTTACATCAGTTAGATGTTAATAATGCTTTTCTTCAGGGTACACTATCCGAGACTGTGTATATGGCTCAACCTCCTGGCTTTGTTGACAAACAATATCCAAATTATGTTTGTAAATTGCAAAAGGCCATCTATGGCTTACGGCAGGCACCACGCGCATGGCACGATGAATTGAAACGGTTTGTGATCACTCAAGGCTTCACTCCCACACGTAGTGATCCTTCTCTATTTGTGTACAAGAAGGGTAACACCGTGGCATATTTTCTTGTCTATGTTGATGATTTGCTTCTTACTGGGAACAATGATGGTTTTCTCACATCCTTTATTGCTTCCCCCTCCATCAAATTTTCCCTCAAGAATCTTGGCTTTCCTCATTATTTCTTTGGGATAGAGATTGTTCCCACCTCGTCTGGTCTCTTTCTCTCCCAGCACAAGTATGCCCGTGATCTCCTAGACAAGTTTGATATGGCCGGCGCCAAACCTGTGACAACCCCCCTAGCTTCTACAGCAGTGATACAGCTGCATGATGGTACCGCAAGCACTGAGGCTTCACGCTATCGCAGTATCATTGGAGCCCTGCAGTATCTTAATCTTACTCGCCCTGACTTGTCTTTTGCTATCAACAAACTCTCACAGTTCATGCACAAACCAACTGAACTCCATTTTCAGCATGTAAAACGATTGCTTCGTTATCTCAAATCCACGCTCAACAACGGTCTCACTCTGCGATGCAATGGCTCCCTCAATCTCTATGCTTTCAGTGACGCATATTGGGTTGGCAATGTGGATGATCGCACGTCCACCTCGGCCAATATCATCTTTCTGGGTTGTAACCCCGTGTCCTGGTACTCCAAAAAGCAACGCACAGTGGCTCGTTCTTCGACTGAAGCTGAATATCGAGCAGTTGCCACTACCACTGCTGATCTTATGTGGCTTATCAATCTTCTCTATGAGCTTCATATACGTCCCTCTTCTCCGCCAAGGATATTTTGTGACAACATTGGAGCCACGTATCTCTGTTCCAACCCTCTGTTTCACTCACGGATGAAACACATCTCTCTTGACTATCACTTTGTTCGTGAAAGAGTTCATCAGGGCTTGCTTACTGTTCATCATGTCTCCACCAAAGATCAAGTTGCTGATATTCTCACCAAGCCGTTATCTACAGCTAAATTTCAGGAACTTCGGTCCAAGATGAGTGTCCATGATGGAAACCTCATCTTGCGGGGGCGTGCAGAAGCTTCCAATCAGATAACATCAACATAACTCTCTGACTTGTCATCTCCTAGTCTTATGCCTTTTGTTATCTTAGTTAGTTTCAGTAGCATTATCTTCTCCATAAAAATAGTGCATCAGTTGCACAATGTATCTATAAGTTATGCTCTGTATCTTCCAGGAATTAACAACAATTATCATTTTATCCCACACTACTCTTATATTCCTCATTATGAGGCTGCTCTTCGTGTTTTACGCTACTTGAAGAATGCTCCTTGTAGGGTCTCATCTTCCCTTCTTCTAGTTCTTTTCAGTTGCGTGCCTATTGTGATGTTGATTGGGCAGGATGTCCGACCACTCGTCGTTCCACTACTGGCTTTATCGTTTCCTTGGGTGATTCTCCGATCTCTTGGCGTTCCAAGAAGCAATCTATTGTATCTCGCTCTTCTGCTGAAGTTGAGTATAGGGCTATGGCATCTACAACCAGTGAATTGGTTTGGCTTGTTTGATTCATGATGAGTTGCATGTTTCTCAATCAGTTCCAATCCATTTTTCTGTAACAATCGTGTTGTCATTCACATTGCTTCGAATCCTGTTTTTCATGAGCGCACAATACACATTGAGATTGATTGTCATTTTATTCGCCACCACATTCTTTCCAAGCTTTTGGTTCCACGTCCGTTTCCTTCCAACCGTCAGTTGGTGGAATGTTTCACCAAGGCTTTGGATCGTGACTCCTTATTTAGCATTCTCGGCAAGTTGGACATTTGTGATCTTCATGCTCCATCTTGAGGGGGGTATTGAGAGAATATCTTGTGATATCCTTATACGATAAATATGGCAATTGTATCTTGTTGATATGATATAGATTAGATTGTATGAATTAAGTGATATGGTAAATCTCGTAGATTATGTCCTTTATTTATTTCATCTCTTTTGACTTGTATATATGCCTTATAGTCCTCATTGAGTTATACAACTATTCAAGCTTAATAGCATTCTCTCTACTTTACAATAACACTAGTACAACGCATGTGTATTACACGGGTGCTTGCTAATTTTTTTTCTTAAAATCAAAATTTAATGAGAGAAGGTAGTTGAAAATTTAAATACCTTTTATAAAAATATATATACTATTATATATTTAGTATGAAACATTTTATTTGTGCGACTTACCTGTGTTATATTATAATAATTTTTTATCTTACAACATATAACTACATTAAACATAAATATATCAATTGAAAAATAATTTTATTTTTCTAATGAATTTTAGTAAATATTATTATTTTTTATTAATATAAAGATAAATATAATTTATTTATTTTATACATACAATATGGATGTCATATCGAAGATCATCAAAAGATGATTAATTTGATATATTATATATGTAAAAACAATAAGAAATACAAAAATTATCAACTTTTAAAATACATTTACAATTCAATAGCTAATTGTAAGAAGCAAATCAAAAGTCAGGGATATATTAGTCACTTAGTGCTTACTATATAAAATTACAAAGAATTAAAGGGTTATATTAGTACAAGTGATTTTAAAATACTAAGTTAGATAAATAATATTTATGGAATGTCCAAACCTACATTATTAATCCTCACTATATATAATTCTCGAATGTGCTGAGCCTAATTGACATGCTCGCATGATTCGGAATCCTAAGTGTCAAAGTTTCATGCTTTGTTATTTGGTCTGGATAGATTTTAATTTAATTCCAATCCAAAACTAATTAAGTTCGGATTACCATAAATATGTTGATTTATTTATAATCATTTTGAATGTATTTTTTGTATTTTAATATTATTTCTTATTATAACTATTGAATTATAAATGTACTTTAAAAGTTGATAACTTTTATATTTCTTATCGGTTTTACATATATAATGTATCAAATTAATCATCTTTTGATGAGCTTCGATTTGACATCCATATTGTATATATAAAATAAATAAATTATATTCATCTTTGCAATAATAAAAAACATTTATTAAAATTAATTAAAAAATAAAATCATTTCTCAATTAATATATTCATGTTTAATGTAGTTAATGTTATAAGTTAGAAAAAATATTATAATATAACACATGTAAGTCGCACAAATAACAAATGTCATACTAAAATATATAATATATACATATATAAAGTATTTAAATTTTCAACTATTTTTTCTTATTAATTTTAAATTAATTTTAAGAAAAATTTTTAACAAGCACCTGTGTAATACACGGGCGTTGTACTAGTTATTAATATATCAATATTATTTGTCCAAATATATTTACAAAGCATGATTTTTCGCCAAGTAAGATTACGAAACACCAAAAACAGTCACGTAGGCTCAGTGCATTTGGAAATTATATATAGAGTGGAGGTGGATTATATATAGGGTGGATATTTTATATTAATAACATTATAAAAGGACATATGACATTTACTGAAAATTTATCAATTTTGTGTATAAACTATAAAATATGGAAAAATGTTACAGTCCCATTACGGAAGTATTCCGTCGGGATTTGTAACCGTTAGATCATCATGTAACCGTCGAGGATAGTTGATCTAACGGTTACAAACCCCAACAGAATGGTTCCGTAACGGGACCGTAACATCTCCCTAAAATATGATAGATCGATCATATACACAAATTTTTGCACACGTCGTTTAAGCAATATTTTATTAGTTTTGTGTGATAAGAAAAACTAGTATTAGTATCCATGTACAACATGAGTGTTGAGTTAATAAATATATGTGTAAAGTTATTTATGTCTAATACTAAACTTAACTCCAAAGCAAAAATAATATAAAACAACATCACGAAGCATAAGTTTTTGCCATGTCAGGATCCGAAGCGTGAGAATCTACCACTTACTCAACACGTTTTGAATTAATATAGAGTGAGAGAAGTGAGAGATTAATATATAGGGAGAGATATTAAAAACAAAAGCAGAATTAGAAAAAGAGCAAAGGATTTACTCAGCACCGCTTTACCTCCCATCACCGCTTTATCTTCAATCACACCGTCTCTTTACTTCCACTGTCACTTCATTTGCAATATTTTTTTTCTTTCCTCTCAATAAATTCCTTCGCTTATCCCCTGCACTAGGGTTTGATCGGTCGATCGATTTAATGGCTGAAAATGGGCTAAAAATATTGATTAATAATGGAGAAATCGAGCGCGGGTTTGGGGAAAACGGCATCAGAATCCCGATCGACGGCGTGAAAGAGGAGCCTTTCGTGTATGTCGACGATTTCGAAGGCGGAGACGGTGGCGGGGAGTGGGCGGAGGAGCCCCCTCTTGCGCAGCCGGTGGAGGGACTGAGGGAGATTGCGCCGCCGCCGTTTCTGAAGAAGACGTTCGAGATGGTGGATGACCCTCAGACGGACCGCGTGATATCGTGGAGCCGCAGAGGGTCGAGCTTCGTCGTGTGGGACCCGCACAAGTTCTCCGCCGACTTGCTGCCCAGGAACTTCAAGCACAACAATTTCTCCAGCTTCGTTCGCCAGCTCAACACCTATGTAAGCTTTCGATGACAAATTTTACTCTCATCGTGTTTGAATTTTGATGGAAGAGATTTTATTGGGTATTTGTTTCGAATTTTAGCTTGCGATTATGCTGTTTCATTTTCTTCCCTTTTCATCAAGAAGGCATTGTTAGCTTGCGATTATGCTGTTTTAATGGTTGGTTTTCATCAGAACTGTTTGTTGGGTTCATGTGTGGAGAAATATTATGTTTGTTAGTTTTGATTTACCCATCTCAAAATCTTAGCTGTATGTAATTTCCATGCCTACTCTGTTTGCTCTTCTTGTACTTGCTGAGTACCTTAAATTTCGTCGATTAATCTCTCCGCAGCGGTTCAAGAAAATTGATCCTGACCGATGGGAATTTGCGAACGAGGGCTTTCAGCAGGGGAAAAAGCACTTGCTGAAGCACATCAAAAGGCGAAAGCATAGTAGCCCTCAACTGGACCCGACGAGCCACCTCTCTATCGAAACCGAGCTCGAGAAACTCAAGAATGACCACGATACACTAAAAACGGAACTCGTGAAACTAAGGCAGCAAGAATTGAACACCCAGCACCATCTAACTACAATTGAAGAACGTCTAGTCTCGACCGAAACCAAACAGAAGCAAGTGGTCCTTTTTTTAATGAAATCCCTCAAGAACCCTCTGTTCTTCCATCATTTTGTGGACAAGATGAAAAAGAAAAGGGCAATAAGTGATGGACGGTTGTTTAAAAAACGGAGGCTCGGTGATGCCAGGATGGCGAGTTTCGCGAGGAATGTAAATGTTATTGCTGATGAGATTGTGGGTGATGTTGTTGGGGTTGATGATGAGGTGTTTTGTGTCGAGGATGATTGGACTGCCGAAGAGTCGGGCAGCATGTTACGGGAGATGGAGTACGAGACGAGTAGTGGTGGTGTCAACCGTGAGAATTTTGTGCTGTGGGAGAAATTGATGGACGATGATGTGATTTACGAAGAGGGTGACGTCACTGACATGGCTATTAACCAACAGCCGGAACTTTTTTCTGAGCTGGAGAGTTTAATCAAGATGCCCCACTAAGGACATCATGGTAAGCTCGTCTGATATATTTGTTGCATAAGGTTATATAGGTAATATAGTTCATGTTGTAGATTTTGGTTTGTTTTAGCACAAGTTAAAGGTTCGACAATGGATGTGGGGTGTTGTGTTCCCGTTGGTTTTCATCGTCACTTGTTCATTCTTATTAACAACCTTTCTGTGTAAATTGTTTCATGTTTTGTTAGATTGTACATAGTTTGTAAGCCTAGTTAATATATGATCAAAAAGTTTATATTTTATTTAAAGTATCAATATATTTCTTGAATTCTATTGATGGCTCAAATTTAGGGATTGTAGCCCTCGGTGTTGTCCAAAATGCCATTTGAACATTGTTTGTAGTATTTTTGGGTTGTTGGTTACTCGCACTCAGGTCGTTTTCAAAGGAAGGTATTTTTGGGTTGTTGGTTACTCGCACTCAGGTCGTTTTCAAAGGAAGGTATTTTTGGGTTGTTGGTTACTCGCACTCAGGTCGTTTTCAAAGGAAGGCTATTCAGACAAGGATTCAAACAATGATCGACTCACACAAGAAAAGAAAATAAAAAACCTTAAACACTCTACTCGCAATTTGGGGATTGATTTGAGCTAAAGATGGCAGCTTTAAACTAAACGAGAGCTAGATTCAAACTTTATCGCAAGCAAGACCCGAGATGGAAACAAGGTACTCTTAGACCCGAGATGGAAACAAGACACTCATAGGTTCGGGAGCATGCAACCAAGCGATCATCACTTATGATCAATTAACCTTTTAATCAATTTTTCGCTCACGCAATCAATAACAATATCACATAATCTATAGCCTATGATGATAGTATAATCGACTCATGAATGTGTCTATCTTTAGAATAAATTCAATAAGTAAAAACAAACAAGACTCACGAAATCATGGATATCAAACGAAGTCTCCAAGTCTCTAATGCATCCACGAGAAGAAATAAGCCGAAAAGTCGTAATCTTGATGAAGAAATATTACAATAAAATAGGGTCTTGGAGCCCTTAGAGAGACAAAGAAAACTAGAGAGAGAATATAGCAAAAACTAAAACGAAAAAAATTAGCAAATGAGGAATTCTCCCCAAAAAAATACAAAGCACAATGTCTATTTATAGTTATACCACAAACACACACGAAAACACACACATTAAATGAAACACTCGCGAGTTAAGTCGAACTGGCGAGTTGGATCTTGATTTTCGCTGGCTATTTTCGTTGGAAAGGGGCAACTCGAGGGGTACGGGACGTTCGCGGGCGCGGAGAAAGGAACTTCGCGGGCAATGGCGCACCATAGGAACTCGCGGGGTACACTGTGTTCGCGGGATAGAGGGCAGACTCGCGCTCGCGAGTTTTAACGTCTAGCTGGCCCTAGCTCGCGAGTTAGCTGTATCCTGTGAAATTTAAGCGTCTGAAGGCTGGTTCCTAGCTCGCGAAATGGGCCGGCTCGCGAGATGGAATTCCGCGGGCGCGAGTTTTTGGGGTCTGATTGCTGGGCTCAGAATTTTTGTCCCGGTGACTATGGCTCGACTTTTAACGCTCTCGCACACTTCTCCAATCGACTTGGAACTTCCTTCCTCTCGGGCCTACAAAAACACAAAAACGCTCAAAGGAGATAGAACAATATACGAAAACGACTCAAAAACAACAAACTACTAAAAATGAACAAAAATGGACCGGGACACACAAACCAAACTAAAAAAGACTCGACTCAAGCAAATAAAAACACACAAAAACATAACAAACAAACATACCAGCATGATACTACTTGGGTGTGATTGGCTAGAGATTAAAATTGGTTTTGAGTGATTAGATAATTTTTTTACACTCTTAATTAAAATTGAACTCAAATATAATCAAACTCAACTCTCTTTAATATTATCAAAATAATTAAATAATATCAATCATCTTCACATATCATATCAACTTTAATTCACTATTCATGTATTAACATAATTCTCTATTCATTTACTAACATATTTCAAGGAAAAATATCTTTTACATCCCATTAGATACATAATATTTTAATTCACTATTCATTTATTAACTTAATTCTCTGTTCATTTACTAACGGGAAAAATATCTTTTACATCCCATTATATACATAATATTTTTATCACAGTGTCTTATCCAAAAATTTCTTTTTCACCTCAGAAAACACAAAATATTATGCGAAGTTATAATAACATATCCAAACCAATCACATAAGATTTTGTCGCATATCCAAATCGCAAGCATAATTAATAGTTGTGTGAAACAGATTCCCCCATCTTGTAATGCATATCCAAGTTCACTTCATAATTTACCATATGCGAAAAAGTTTTGTATATTAGTTATCGCATAAATTGAACGTCACATGTTTTACGATTATGCATAGCATATTTAAATCTATAATGTCGTATAATTAACGATTATGGGTAATATGCTGGCATATTCACGAATCCAAATTGAAAGCTGCATAATATAAGACTTGTTATCATCCGACTCGGTAAAGCACTATTAAGGGCCTTGAACGGCGTCTTAAGCAAATTTAACTCCAACACTGACGTGACCCAAAGTCACCCCGGTTCGCACGACAAACCGGTACGATCACAAAAGAACGAAGTGATCATTACCAGCCGAGGTCATCCCAAACCGAGATCAACACAAACCGAGGTCGTTACCTCCTAAGCAGGTGACGAGGCGCCTACACGCCCTTCTCACGAACTACGAGATCTGTTATCATTCAAGCGGGGCCCACTAATCCTGCCGCCCATCAAAAAGTAGCTTTATGGAAAAAGTAGCTTTATGGAAAAAGTAGCGCACGGATCCCGATATATGTATAAAAAAAGTTACTATAAATATTGAACTGATAATACTTGTACGGGATTCGATTTTTGCTCCCGAACCGAACGCTTTTATGATGGAACACGAAACAGCTCTCAGAAGCTCTTCACCTCGGTTCACCTCGGACCGGGGTCATTGTTGAGTATTTTATCCATACTTTACGTTCGAATCATTTATAATCATTAAATACATACAACTTTAGATCGTTGTTAAGATTCACACAACAACAGTTTGGCGCTAGAGGAAGGGCCTCATAAGTTATTTGAGGTTAATCTCCAATTCTTGCTCTGTTCGTCACATCAACGGCAGCCATGTCGCATTCAGATCATCGTGGTCATACATCGCGAGATGGCCACAGTCGCAGCGATGCTCAGTCTGCCAGACGCCAAACATCAGCTCCCAATATCCCGGATTATACTGTTCTGTTCCAAAATCCAGAGTTTGCACGTGGGTTCGCTGCTTTGATGGCTCAAACAATCCCTGGAACATCAACGACTGCTCCAAGACAGTCCATAATACCAACAACTCCTGCTAATCCGCAGATTCCACCGGTGCGACAAGACGGTGGCAGAACCACTTCTCACGCCATGTCTCAACCTCGCAGTCGAACGTTGCAGCCGCACCCAGAACAAACTACACGTCACGCTGACGTTGGGCGTAATCCCCTTGTAATTCCTCGTGAAGAAACCGCTGAGAGTCAGTCTGGACACTCACGGCGGTCGCCACCTCATACGTGACACCGAATCTCTTCTAACCCGGCGCAAACCGACCTTCATCAGCACATTGAGATAAATTGAGCTCACCAAGAATCATCCGAACTTGAAACGTTGCGACGAAGAATCGCCAAGTTGGAAAGTCGGCAAAGGATGCCTGAAGACCCCCCTCGACGGACCTCGACTTCGGCGCAAGTATACCTGGAAGCCGATTCCCCTCTCACTCCAGAACTCACTTCGGAACCTGTACCCAGCAAAGTTAAAGTTCCTCAAATCGGGTTATACGATGGGACTTCGGACCCCGATTCACACCTCGGTCATTACACTTCGTGGATGGACCTGCATGGGGCCTCAGACGCACTTCGATGTCGCATGTTTTCCCTTACGTTGGGGCCTCGGGCTAAAAAATGGTACCATTATCTTCCTCCTCATTCTATTTGGAAGTGGCAACAGCTGAGGTCGACTTTCCGATCTCACTTCATCGGGGCCCAAGTTTGTTTGATTCCAAAA